AACAGGCCTTGCATACAATCGGGTATGCTGACGGGTACCTGACTCGTTCGACAGCATCAAAATCCTAGTTTTCCATTGACTGGCCACTGTGAATCACCATTATATTCTTCGGATATCGATATCAATCAGGCTGCTGATGGAAGTGGCGCATCCCAAAAAGTTTAGTGGACCATTCCTTTCCATCAAAATTAAAACCCTGCTCTGAGCTACACTGACTCCAGCGACATTAGAATCTTCGGAGTTCAGAGAACCAGAATTTTGACTTGATTGCTGAATCAAGTCCGAATCCCAAACCGATACTGCTGTCAAAGGTTCTTACCTGCCACTTACCATAGTAGGTGCAGAAACTGCATTCACAGCGAATGGTGAATCGTGCTATTAAAGGCAAAGGTCAAGATTAGGGAACCAAACCAAACCCTTCCATCATCATGCGTGCTCATGCACCCACAGAGAAGTTGCTACGCTCAAAATCTTAAACGGTAATAAGCCCCAGGTATGCATTTGCATTGTTCGCTATCGCCGCCTGGGCGCTATGCCCGCCCACCTCCGGAAGTGGTGCGTGGCTGGCATAACGTGTGAAATCAGCTAGGTTGATTGCCGTATCAACCGATAGAACGACTGGCATCTCCAGAAAACTTGTTTGTGTGCCTCTTCCCAAGCCAGCCTCCTTCACTGCTAGTGGGAAAGGGGTTTTGTTAACGGCCTTGTCGACGGTTTTTTCGTTTTTTCTCCACTGTCGTTCCACTTCGCATCTCTATACTCAGTTTCAATCGCCATAATACCCCTTATTGAGCCCGACTTTTGCCTTTAACTTGAATTCTGCCATGATGATGTTTAATGTATGCGGTGTTCGCGTGAAGAGGTGGGCTTTCACCTACCTGTTTAAGATCGGTAATAGGAAATCCAGAAAACACTTTTATCATTTAAGGCGTTTGCTGACAGCAATACAGCGGGAACTCACCCTTTCAAGGTGAATCCATATGAATTCTGAACGAGGAGATCCCAAGCATTAAGCATTTGCATCGCAATTTTCTGATCAATTACTTACTGACTTCTATCATTATGCCGTCTCAATTGCGCTGAATTAGATTCTTGGGAATGCTGATTTCTGATAACCGCCACTAATCTAAATTATGATGGTGAATCTGTTTTATAGCTATCATTTTAGTGGAATGGTATGGAGCACACTGCGAATTACAGAGGATGCGTGCAAGGCCAAGCAAGCGTGGACAAGACGGGCAACAGAGGGATTGGGACAAGTTAACTTGTGACGCCGTTCCTCTTACCAGGAAAGGTCATTAGGCCAACCCGGCCAAATGAAATGAGGTGCACATTTCTGTACGCAGCATGAGACGCTGAACTCAAATCTGCTTTCATTATCTGCTGAACTCTTCTCTGAAAGGAGTTACGGAGGGTTTTTGTTGCCGCCCTTGATTTTCAGTGTCTTGCCTGCAATCACATGTTAGCCGCATTATAAAAGTATCGAAAGGAGAACCGAGGCACATGGGTGAGCTTCGGTAGCGCAGTTGGTAGCGGTCTTGCTTCTCAAGGAGGGGTCGGGGTTCGGTTCCTTCCGGGGTTTGGTGTTTTGCTTTTTTCAACATGGCTAAAAAGCCTTTTTGAATCCGTTATTTTATCAATGGTCGCCCGACGCTACATCTACGAAGAGTTTGCAAGCAGATCCTCTTAAGCTTAGCACTACTTGTCTGTGAGTGCCATGGTGCCCGTAGTGCAGGTGCTATGCTTTTCCGTGGCAAGTAGGTACGATATTCGTATTCAGGGGATCAAACTACCCCTAAAACGAGTTTTTCGCCAAATCCTGAGGTCATGAACTAATTGAGAAAAAGCGGAGCAGTGATGGGATTACCACTCCTCAAACTCCACTTTTTTGGGTTGACCAATCATGGACGACGGGGGAGAGGAGAAAAAGGGGTTGTATTAGGAAATAATGCCTTGCAGATCTTTGGATGATGCAGACGGGCAAGCCAGACACAATTTTTGTCTATTATGAAAAGTGTTTGAAAGGTTTATTCTACCCAAGTGCCAGCCTTTTGTAATGGATTGGTGGATAAGGTGAGTAAGTGACTGCCCAAATTTTCGAGGTTAGGTCAAAATTTCAGAATTCGCTAGAAGTTTGCTCAAAGGGAGAGTCTGACTCCCTGATTACGAATATCATACTTGTTCAAAGCAAAAATGCTTGCACACATCCTTGCCTTGGTGCGCGCCACGCCTCGGGCGCCCTTCTAATTCGCTGATTCATTTGAAAGCTCATTTAGAGGGAAGCGTGGTTTATAGATGCTCTAGTACCAGTCATCTTACGAAAACGTAACGTGCTGGCTATTATCCGATATTACCAAGAATCCCACTGTCGGCCACCGAGAGGGTACGACCCCCCTCCCTCCAAGCTCAACTGAGTACGACCCCCCCGTTGTTACTCGTAACAACGTAGGTTGACCCTGCTTGAACCGCCTAGCCAGCTGTGTGTTGACTGGACTTTGGCGTTGACCGTGGAGCAGCTTATCTACTATTGAAATTTGAACAAATATTCAAATGATTATAACTTTCTTCAAATAACGAATTTTCAATCTGAAAGCAGATTTGGGAGTTTTGTGAAGAGCTCTTTCTAATCAGTATTGAAATTACAAAATTTATAAGAAATAACAAATTTAGATCAATTAACGAGGAAAATTCATGATGAGCACGAGTTTTTACACTTTCCGAAGCCATAACTTGCTTCATTTTCGTCAAATCTGAAAAGTTAATATGGCATACAAAACTAGAAGATTTTCTCTATCAAACGGTTACTAAAGCAGCTTTATACGTCCAGTATTTAAAAATGGCCACGTTGAGGATTTTTGCAAAATTAACGAGGAAAATTCGTGATGAGTGCGAGTTTTTACGCTTTCCAAAGCCATAACTCCGTTCAAACTCATCCAATCTGAAAAGTTAATACGTCATCATAAACTAGAAGATTTGCTCTATCAACGTTCTAGAACTGCTAAATACGTCCACTATTTAAAAAATGGCCACGTTGAGGATTTTTGCCCGAGTACCGCCGAAAGGTACTTTTTCGCTACATTGGCACTATTTCAACGACTGTAGCTCCTTTTAAGGGCGATTATGTACTAAAGTAGGAGCAGATTCGGAATCCTCGTGCTTTCTCTTCTAAGAAGTGTAAAATTGTTTAGCGTTCTCAACTTTAAAGGTTACATGCTTATGAATTTGACGCTGAAGGCTGCGTTTCTTGTTGAATAGTGTACTCCTCCCTGTAATTTCACATGAACCCTTTCAGAATCCTCTTGATTTTTCCTGAATTGAGATTCTTTCTCCAGAGAGCCGTAGTTGAAGCGCGCGCAACCATGCGCCGTGTGCTTCACATCCCTTCAGATTCGAGGACTCACTTGAAAGATAAAATATCCCTTGGAAAACGTGCGAATTTCAGATTCTTTAACTTGTGTGGTGATAAAACACTGAAGTAACTAAGAATTACCGCGCCTCAGAATCACGAAAATTTTGTGTGGGTGAAATATCATTTTATTGGAAATCCTCTGGCCTGGCATCGACTCGATCCTTGATGTTTGTCCTCCGACGGTGATGATCCTACTGCATCAATCGGCCCGATCTCTTCCCCAGCGGGCCAATACGACCCCCCCCCTGTGACGTGTCGAGGATTCCTCAACGCACGCTTGACCCTGATGTTGATGCACGACCATAGAATTAGCACAAAAAGAGCAGTCGGGCATTCGCGGAAAAAATAGGTACCAAGATGTTGACACGCATGCGTGTAAGAATGTCCATTGCGGCCTCAGATTTCTAACGCACATGCGCATCAGCCTGTAGCCATCGTCACTCACTATAGTGCCCGTCCTGAAACTTCAAAAAAGTTCACGCCAATTTTTCGACGC